GATTTCTAAAACAGATACAACAAGCAAGTTGTTCAGGGTGATAGAATCATATGTTCCTGATTCTGGATATTGCTCACATCACCTTTACTGGTCAGTCTTCTTTTTTGTAGTAATTATGGGTCATATAACTTCATTATTACTTGGTTATTCATTTACAATGTTGAATGCACAATATTCTACCCTTTAGTATACTATACCCGTTTAGTTCTCTCATTATCTTCAGGAAAAAGCTTAGAGAAATGTGTCTGAATCTGAATGCCAGGTTTCTGAAGAACTGGTGTAAATGAAGTTCACAACATTTCCTTTTTTATATACAGTTTAAAAATAAGCACATCCTGAGCCAGGAACACTTACTAATGATCTGGTGATGCACCTAATCTGAATCTCTTTGAACTCATTCCAAGTTATTGTATAAAACTATAAAGTTAGTTATTCATAAAGTAGGGCTCAAAGCAATAATACTTCACATTTAAAGTGCATATTGTAACTGGTTCTTGCCAGAAAATCAGTATATAGGGAAAAATTTCAGGAAATATTAGATTATACTGTAAATGAAATAAAATAACAATGAAATGACTGATAATGAAGGGTCATAGCCTTTCATCTGTTTCATATTTTAGTTTTGATTCTCTAATACTTTGTTGAAATTTCTGACGTATAAAAAAGGAAGTGTGTTACTACTTCATACCAAAAGGGATAGCTAGTATTAAAAAAAGCACACAAAATAAAAACAAGTGTTGGCGAGGATGTAAAGATATTAGAACTCTTGTGCATTGCTGGTGGGGATGTAAAATGGTGCAGCCATTGTGGAAGACACTTACTCCAAAAAAAGTTTAGAATTACTTCATTATCCCACAGTTCCAAATCTGAGTTTATATCCAAAGAAATTGTAAGCAGGGACTTGATCGGGTAATTGTCCAACAGTGTTCATAGCAGCATTATTCACAATAGCCCAAAGGCAGAAAAAACCCAAATGTCTATCAGCAGATGAGTGGCTAAGCAGAATATGGTATAGACACACAATGCAATGTTATTGAGCCTTAAAAAGGAATGAAATGCTGACATGTGATACAACATGGGTAATCCTGGGGATAAAGGGGCACAAAAATTCTCAATTGTAATACAAGTTGGTCATGGTGATAGTACAGCGTGGAGAATATAGTCAATGATTCTGTAAGATCTATGTTGACAAATAGTAACTGCACTAGTGGGGGTGAGGATTTAATAATATGGGTAACTGTTGAACCACTGTGTTGTATATTTGGAACTAATATGAAATTGTGTATCAATTATATTTCAATAAAAAAGGCAATTACATTATCAAAAAATAAAGTTGTTTAATGGTTTTAAAAAAGATACTATGCTAAGTCAAACAGGCCAGACAAAAAAGGACAAATGTTGTATGATTCTACCTGTATGAAGGACCTACATTAATCAAATTCATAGAGGCAGAAAGTAGAATGGTGGTTACCAGGGGCTGGGGGGAGGAGGAATGGAAGAATTATTTTTTAATGGGTACAGTTCCAGTTTAGGAAGATGAGCAAGTTCTGGAGATGGATGGTTCGTGATGGTTACAGCACAGTGTAAATGTACTTAATGCCACTAAACTGTACACTTAACAATGGTTAAAATGGTTAATTTTATGTGTATTTTACCACAATTAAAAAAACTTTATAGGAAATTATAATTTTGCTATAGCCCATAAATTTTTTTTATTGAAATGTCATTGATATACAGTCTTATATTGGTTTCAAATGTACAACACGGTGGTTCAACGGTTGTCTATATTATTAAGTCCTCACCCCCTCTAGTGTGGTTACTGTCTGTCATCAGAAAAAGATGTTACAGAATCATTGACTATATTATCCATTCTGTACTGTCATTCCTGTACTAACTTATGCTGTGATTGTGAGTTATTGTGCCCCTTTATCCCCCTCATCTTCCCCATCACCCACCCCAACCCCTCCCCCTTGGTAACCACTGGTCATTTCTTAGTGTTAATGAGTGTACTGCTGTTTTGTTCCTTCTGTTTTGCTTTGTTTTATATTCCATAAATAAGTGAAATCATATGGTATTTGTCTTTCTCTGCCTGGCTTATATCATTGAGCATAATACCCTCTAGATCCATTCATGGTGTTGCAAATGGGAGGATTTCTTTTCTTTTCATGGCTCAGTAATATTCCTTTGCGTATATGTATCACCTCTGCTTTATCCATTCATCTACTGATGGACACTTAGGTTGCTTCCATATCTTGACTATTGGAAACAGTGCAGCTATAAACATAGGGGTACATATATCTCTTTGAATCAGGGATTTTGTTTTCTTCAGGTAAATTCCTAGGTGTGGAATTACTGGGTCAAATGATATTTCTATTTTTAGTTTCTTGAGGAACCTCCATATGATTTCCACAGCAGTTGAACCAATTGGCAGTCCCACCAGCAGTGTAGGAGGGTTCCTATTTCTCTGTACCCTTGCCAGCATTTGTTATTTCTTGTCTTTTGGGTACTGGCCATCCTAACTGGTGTGAGGTGATATCTCATTGTGTTTTGATTTGCATTTCCCTGATGATTAGTGATGTGGAGCATCTTTTCATGTGCCTGTTGGACATTTGTATTTCTTCTTTGTAGAAGTGTCTTTTCAGGTCCTCTGCCCATTTTTTGATTGGGTTATTTTTTTTTTTGGGTGTTGAGGCATATGAATTCTTTATATATTTTGATGTTAACCCTTTATCAGATGAGTTGTTTATGAATATATTCTTCCATACTGTAGGATGCCTTTTTCTGCTGATGGCATCCTTTGCTGTACAGTTTGATGTACGTTTGGTCTGATATAGTTCCACCTGTTCATTTATCATTTTGTTTCCCTTGCTCAAGGAGACGTGTTCAGGAAAAAATTGCTCATGCTTATGTTCAAGACATTTTTGCCTGTGTTTTCTTCTAAGAGTTGTATGGTGTCATGACTTTCATTCAGGTATTTGATCCATTTCAAGTTTACTTTTGTGTATGGGGTTAGACAGTAATCCAGTTTCATTGTCTTACATGTAGCTGTCCAGTTTTCCAACACCAGTTATTAAAGAGGCTGTCTTTTCATTCTGTGTTCATGGCTCCTTTATCATACATTAATTGACAATATATCTGTGGGTTTATGTCTGTATAACCCATAAATATTTTTAGAGAAAAAACGAGTGTCATGTAAGATTTATGTGAGGAAAATCTTCTCTAACTTCCACTGAGGATTGAATGGCAACAACTTAAAAAATTGCAGCATACCATATTGGATATAGCCATTATACAGGCCATTGCATTTCATGGCTTTGTAGGACAAAGGAAATTCAATGATGGGAAGAAGGTTCTTCAAAGTCTGGATTTTAGCAATGTCTTTGTTAAGATTGCACCTTCTCAATCCTGCCTTATTATTCACCTGTTTGTATAAGCTGGCATATGACTGGTTTTAGTCAAGGCTGAAAATGTAAATTTCTAGGGCCCTTTTAAAAGAAAATGGAACCAGGTTTTTCTCCCCTTTGTTCTGTGGTATTTTCCAGAGTCTTCCATCACAGAAGATGGAAATGTGGTAGAAACCCCCCTAACTGTCCAGTGGTTGGTCAGTTGAAGAGAGGAACCATAAAAACGATGTATATGGATGGAGCTAGAGGGTATTATGCTTAGTGAAATAATCCAGGTGGAGAAAGACAAGTACCAAATAATTTCACTCATTTGTGGAGTATAATAACAAAGCAAAACCGAAGGAGTAAAAGAGCAGCAGGCTCAGACTCCAAGAAGGGACTAGCAGTTACCAAAAGTAAAGGGGGTTGGGGAGGGAGGGATAAGGGGATAAAGGGGTATTATAATTAGTACACATAATGTAGGGGGGTCAAGGGGAAGGCAGATAGCATAAAGAAGACAAATAGTGACTCCATAGCATCTCAATATGCTGATAGACAGTGACTGCAATGGGGTGTGTGGGGGGGGCTCGATAATATGGGTGAATGTAGTAACCACAATGTTGCTTATGTGAAACCTTCAGAAGATTGTATATCAATGATACCTTAATAAAAACAAAAAACTATATATATATATATTCTATTAATTTTTTTAAAAAACCTTAAACATATATTTATTCATTCTCCAATAGTTATATGTGGGGCCAAGGCCTTTTCTTTGCATATGGCTCCTCTGGAATTTTCTTTCTTGATTAAACCACATCCATATTGTTTCATTCCAGATTTCCAGATACTCTTGTTTGGTTTTGTAAAGGTAGAAAACAAAATTATTTTAGAGTTTATTGACTTTCTGTCCAATCTCTTAAAGTTGCTTCATGTACAGCTGTTCTAGCAGTTTACTGCTCATCTTTATTGAGTGTTTCTAAAGCATTCACTGTCATTTTCATACAAAGGACAACTCTCTTTTATACTCATTTAATCAGTTTACATAATATTTAATTAAATCACATGATTATAAGAAGCTCAGTGGGCATAAATAGGCCTGGGAGCAAACATAGCTGAATCTAAGTGTGCCAACATACTACTGGTAGGACAAGGATTGCATGTAAGCATGCTGTGGACATCTGAATGTTTTTGTAATAGAAAGGAGACCATATGTTAAATCCATTGGAAGTTGGTTAAGAGAACTTTTTGCAGAGTGAAAATTTTCTTTTTCTAAATGAAGCCTTACATTTTTCCTGTCTGTAAATGCAGATCTACATCATTGTTTTTAATGGCCACATTGTATTTATTATACATGTATTAGGCTGAGTTCTTGCTTGCAAACAACATGAAGCAGTTCTGACTTGCTTAACTAAAGAATTTATTGGTAGGCTATTAAGATTGCTTGTAGAGTCAACAGGGAAGATGGTCAGCCATGCTTGGAAAATGGGCAGGAACCCAGTGAGGCTAAAACAGGCCAAGGTCATGCTCCAGGAAGTGTCTGGTAAGGACCTCTCCAGTGGCACTGCCTTTCTCAGGACTTTTGCCACCACTACTGCTAGCATCTTGACTTGGCTGCTGCAACTATTGTGAATTCTCTATCACTGTTTACTGGTGTAAATTCCTCAGGATTCAAAACCTGGGTAGAAGCATCTGCCCATCTGGGTCTAAAGTCACTTAGCAGCATCTCAGCTTCAAGGATGAAGGACAAGGTAATATTCCCCACCTCCCACTTTGGCTCTAATAATGGGGGCAGGGTCCTGTTGCCCATTGCCAAGACGCTCACTCACAGGAGGGAATTTCCTTAACCTAGGATGTGTGTTTGGATTCTGGGTAGCCAAAAATATGACAACTATCTGTAATAGTATGGATACACTAGAGTTTGTTTAATTAATGTCCTACTGTATAAAAATTAAGTTGCTTCCTATTTTTTTCTGTTTTGAGGTACCTGGTTTAATACACACATTTTCCTAATCTAGGAGGGGGAAAATATTGTATCATAGTTGTTTTAATTTATAATTTTTAAATGTAAATTTTTATGTGTTTATTGGCATTTTTGATTTATTTATTTTGTCAATTGATATGTTGGGTTTTTTAAAGATATAATTTGCATACCATAAAATTCACTCTATTGAAGTATATAGTTCAGTGGTTTTAGTATATGATTTAGTATATGATTTAGTATATGATTATATGAGTATATGATTATATACTAAAACCATTATCACTATCTAATTCCAGAACATTTCATAACCTCAAAAAGAAACTCCATGTGTATATGTTTTTGTAGTTTGTTTACATGTTCTTTTTGCCACATGAAATTTTTAAATGCCGTATAATTGAGTTTTAAGATCTTTTCCTTTATAGTTTCTGCTTTTGGCACATGCTTATTAAAGGCCTTTTGCATCCCAAATTTTGTCATTGCTCTTGTTAATTAATATTCACTTTTATATCTTTGTAGCATTTTTTATTTTCTTTTTACATTTTAGTCGGACTTACTTTGGTATTACATACTTTTGGGATCTAAAAGTATTTACCTCACATGGTTAGCCAACACCACTTATTGATTTCCCCATTGATTTGAAATGTCCATATTATATACTGAATTCTTATATATACACATATACACTTTCTGTTTGTTGGAAGGATCTGTCTATTTGACATTAGTACAAGACTTTTGAATAATTAAAAAGTTTAGAGACATTTTGATGTCTGGTAGGGTAATTGGCATCATTATTCTTTCAGTGATGGTTTTTGTAAAATTAATAATGTACTTGAAAAGTCTGGTCAAACTGATTTGTCATTTTCAGCTTCACCAAACTTCTATCATTTATTTTATAGTTTACATGTTCTTAATCAATTATAACAAATATAAAAGAAGTACTTTTTAAACTTATTCTCTACAATAATTAAATACTGACAGTTGTTTTTTAGTTTTCATAGGTATTTAATGTGTTTTCATCATTGGTTTGGGGGCACTATTTTATCTTAGAACTAAGGTTATAAGGTGGATTTTATCTTATGAAGAAAGTTATAGCATTACAAACAATCTGTGATTCACCTACAGATTGTATCTGACAAGCCTGAATCAAATGATTGTTTTGATGGGAGGAAAAAAAGCATGCCAACTACCAAACGATCTTGGAACTTAAGATAGACTACTTCACCAAGACCATATTGAACCCATAGTATGGTTGGAAAGTAGCTGACACATTTTAATGTCAAGTAGTTGAATGCTACTTCCCACTTACTTTTTTAATTTTTGCCAGGATCAATGTCTTTTTATCAATGTTTGTTTTATCTTTATCCAGAGATAAAAATGGCCTTGTCTGAGGCAAGAAAAAGTTTTCACCCATATTAAAAACATGTTTTTTTCCTCTAGTCTATTATATTGACATGGTGGCAGATGCTCATATAATGTCTATTATATTACCCAGGTGGAAAGGCACCTGGTAATTTGAGCACTATTTCTTACTTTTTAAGTAATCTCTCCCCACCTGTCTTCATTGCAGGACACCAATAATTTTTCAAGACACCAATAATTTTTCAAGCATTTTCCCCACCTTTGGCTGTTTTTATTTTATGCCTTTTGCAAACATTGCCCTATTAAATTCACCTCTTTGAGGCTATTGTTAGCTGTGGACTCCAGCGTAATTGGCTATATGAGTGTGGGTGAGTCCGAGTGTTAGCTTCCTTAATTTTCAAAGGAGGCTATTACCTTATTTACATTGCAGAAATTCATGTATATGAAAGTTTTATCAACTATGCAATGCTTTAGGAATCTGAAATTTCTGTATTGTTTTCACAAGGGCAATAGATTAGCTCAGGACTCAAAAAATGGCCAGCAAAGCATGTTGCTTTTTCTTAATTTGAATGTTCTGTTCTTTTTTGACCTTACAAATATGTCTTAAATATTGACTTCTAATCTTTTGGGAATAGTCAAATGAAAAGAACAATCATGCTTTAAAAAATATACACTTGTGTGCTCCATCTGTTTCATCTGGAATCTTAGTTCTCTGTTTATATAGTGACAATTGTCTGATGAAAGAAATTAGGCACTCAGTATTTTAAAAACAGGTTAAGGAGTAAGACCAATTTTCATTTTAAAGGCTTAACACAATTGAATGAAAGAGGTGCATTATATAACATAATAGAGAAGCTAATGCTTTTCCCTTTTGTTTTCAATTTAGAGGTGAAAGTGAGTTTAAATAAAATCAAATGGGTGGGAAAAAAATGACTTGGAATAATTATATAGATACCCTTAAGGCAACTAGTTCTATGTTGTTTGCTTAGCTAGAAATCATTAATTTATTTAACAAAATGGTTGTTTTTATAGCCCTGTTATAATAGACTGGGTGATTTTGACTGTCTATATATATGTTTGAGTTTATCATTGGTCTCACTGAATTATTTCAATTTTAGTAACTTTTCTTTTAATTTCTAAACATTTCCTATTTTTTCTTATTTCACCCTAAAATGGGCTGTTTTTTTTTAAGTGAAGTACAGTTGATATACAGTATTATTTTGGTTTCAAGTACACAATACAGTAATTCAGTAGTTACCTACATTATTAAATCCTCACCCCTGCTAGTGCAATTACTATCTGTCAACATAGAAAGATGTTGCAGTCACTGACTATATTCTCCATGTTGCACTTCCCTCCTTGTGACCACCTTACATTATGATGAGATTTTTCTGCCTCTTTATCCCCCTCACCCATCCTACCCACCCACTCCAATCCCTCTCCCATGGTAACCATCACTTCGTCTGTTCTTTAAAAATCTTTTTTTCCTCTAGCTTTATTGAGGCATGATTGAAAAATATAAATGTATGTATTTAAGGTGTACAATGTGATGTTTATGATCACCACAATCAAGCTAATTAACATATCAATCACCTCACAGTTACCATTTTTTTGTTGTTGAGAACAATTAAGATCTCAGCAAATTTCAGGTATAAAATATTAACTGTAGTCACCATGCTGTACATTAGCTCTCCAGTGCTTATTCACCCCACATGACTGAAACTTTGTTCCCTTTGATCAACATTTCCCCATTTCCTCCATCCCCCAGCCACTGGTAATCATTGTAGTCCCTGCTTCTAAGAGTTCAACTTTTTTAGATTCCACATATAAGTGAGATCATGCAGTTTTTGCCTTTCTGTGTCTGGTTTATTTCACTTAGCATAATGTCCTCCAGGTTCATTTCCTTTTAAAATTCTTATGAAATAATTTAGGCCTATAAAGATTATAGGGAACCCTATAACATACTTGTGTATCTGCTACCCAACTAAGACATTAAACATTGAATATATATTTGAAGTTCCCCTTTGTGCTCCAAGCATATCCCATCTTCCTTCTGCAAATTCCTGAATTTGGAGTTCCTCATCCTGTGGACATTTTTATATTTTGACTAACACTACTACATATGTGTACATAAAAATCTATGTGGTTATTGTTTTATATTTGTAGACCTTTGTATCCTTCTGATACTTTTTTTATTTCCTCAACTATGTTAATGAGATTTATCCATGTTGCTATTTGTAGCTCTGGTTCAGAGTTTCTCGACCTCTACTCTTTTGACATTTGGGGCCAGCTAATTCTTTGTTGTGAGGGACTTTCTTGTCCATCATAGGATGGTAAGCAGTATCCCTGGCCTTTACCCACTAGATCCAGTAGCATGTCCCCCAACCCTGCAGGTATAAAAAACAAAACTGTCTCCAAACATTGCTGACTCTGCCATTGGTGGTGAAATCTCTCCTCCCAGTGAGAACTACTATTCTAGTTCATTCATTTTAACTACAGCATCATGCTCCTCTATATATATACCACCACCTATTTTTCATTTTCTGGTTGATAGACATTTAGGTTATTTCCAAAGCTTTAACTATTTGGAGCACTATTGGAATGAGCATTCATGTTCATGTTTCCTGGTGCATATGTGTGAGACTTTCTCTATGGTAATATGCCTGGGAGTGAAAATGTTGAGTTCTAGTATATGCATATCTTCCACTCTACGAGATATTGCCAAGAGCATGTTCCATAATAGTTGTGCTACTTTACATTCTCACCAGCTGAATAGGAAAGATCCTGTAGCTCCACATCCTCTTCAATGCTTGGTTTTGTCAGATTTTGGAATTTTTGTCTACCTGATGGGTGTAAATAATATTCATTGTGAATTCATAGAGCTGTACACTTTGTGCATTTTATTGTACATACTTCAGTTTAAAAAATAAATACAAAAATAAAAACAAAGAAAAACAAGGTGCTTCAGGGATGCTGATAAATCTTATGTCCAAAATCCAGAGCTGAAAACTGAAACAGCTATTGGCTTGGTGGCCTTAATTCTGTTTGAATAAGTATCTCAATCTCTATAGTTTTCCAATTAATATATAACAATGCAAATCCAAACTATTGGAGCTAGAGAGTGATTTAAGTGTAAATTGTCAATCCCTACTATCCCACTAGTTGCTTTTATTTGTTTTTTTCATGTTGCAACCTCAGTGTAGCCTAAGCATGGATTCAGCCAAATTAGAATGTGTGTCTGTGTACAAGCAAATCATGTGTTGGTGTAGTGAGACTTGTGTAGTTTCACTCTTGGAATTGTTAATTGAGTTTGAATTTGGAGTAAAAATAGATGAAAAGAACCTTTGTTAATTACATGTGGGCACTGTCTGGAAGTTGTTAAATAGGTAGAGGCAAATATGAATTTTAAAACATCAAAATGAAGATCCCTGGAGAATTAGTATTAAGGTAGACATGATTTATTTTAAAAAGTAGTTGGGAAACTTTCAAGGTAAATTCAAATGCCTGTGCCACAAAAAAGTTATAGTAAAAATGATAAATAATTTTAAAAAATTCATTGTTTTAGTTTTCATTATCTTGATTACCATAGTGATTAAAAGTTATCTGGGTTGAACTGTATCAAAAAAGTAATTGAATTTTACTGTATAATTTATTAAGAATCCAGAAACTTTTCCCAAATTATGAGGACTAATTATTTTAGAGGGATTTTGAAGTAGTGTTTGAGCTTCTGTGATCAGCTTTAAGAAGTGGTTTGAGCAGACTTCATCTGTGTCATGTTTGTACTCAACTTCTGCAGTTTCTGTTTTCAAACTAGACATGATCTAGTCATAATGCCTTTCTTCCTCTTAGAAAATGTTGTTACTGATGGTGACTGCCATCTGTGTTTAGGGAGTAGCTCAGAATACTTTGATAATTAGAAGTTATTTCCCTCAGTTTCATTGGATGCTTTTGTTCTCAGAGTCACCTCATGACTAATAGCTGCATGCCAAATTTGTTTATTTGATACTGTGATCTCCCAGAAGCATACATGTTTTTCCATACCATATAACATTGTTTATTCTCTTACTGTTCCCTGAGCATTTTGCTAAATGCAGTGGGAGGTTACGAAAGATGTTCCTGACTTTGTACCTATCTTTGAGACATTTAAAATTCAAGAGATCGACATAATATATATTACAAAATCAATTAGAGTTGTGCATGTATGTATAGGAGAGTAGTCATGAGGGAGATAGAATTCCTCTAAGACTTTGTGTGTAAAGTCCAATTTAAGTAGAGTTTTGAAGAAAAAAGTACAGGTAAAACAATGAAGGCAGAAAGAAATACATATTACTCATGGATGATTTGATATGCTTAAATCAGAATGTAGTACGAAATGTGGCTGTATAAATGTGATTTTCGTTTGTGCTCAGAAATTCTTTCCTCCTCAATACATACTTCCAGGGTGAATTATCCAGTTACTTTAAAAGTGCCTTTGTGCTCAACTAGTCTCTTTCAGTTCCTCAGTAAGCCTGAGAGATACTCCAGGTCTGAGGCATACCTCATAGTAAATCTGTATTTCAATTTTACTGTCTAAATGACTGGGTAAACTAGTCTTGCTCTGCTGAGGGTATTGTATTCCAAGTTTTTTGCCAGTTCTGTTGTTGTGATTTGGCATTTTCCCATGAAACAGTTTAGTCAGTTTTGGTAATATACTTAGATCAGCCCTCAAAAACCCTATTTGACCCATAACACATCTGAGTTATATTGTACTGAGTCTGAGTGTTCTGTCTTGGAGGTTCTGTTTATGGTATCCTTTGCTGTACAGAAGCTTTTAAGTTTGATGTAGTGCTGCTTGTTCATTTTTTATTTTGTTTTCCTTGCCTGAGGAGATGTGTTCAGGAAAAAACTGCTCGTGCTTATAGTCAAGAGATATTTGCCTATGTTTTCTTCTAAGAGTTTTATGGTTTCATGTCTTACATTCAGGTCTTTGATCCATTTTGAGTTTACTTTTGTTTATGGAGTTAGACAGTAATCCAGTTTCATTCTCTTGCATGTAGCTGTCCATTTCCCAACCCCAGTTATTGAAGAGGCTGTTTTTTCCTCTTTGTATATTCATGGCCTCTTTATTGTATATTAATTGACCATGTATGTGTAAGTTTATGTCTGGGCTCTCTATTCTGTTCCATTGATCTGTGGGTCTTGTGCAGTGACAGCTTATTTTTACATATAGATTGTTTATAAGTCATAGATTACCAGATGTGAAAATCTTTGGCAGTGTCATTCACTAGTGATCATGAATTTTTGACCTTGAATAAAGGCTGCTTCAAGTCATTAAAAGCAAAATTTAGAAAAAATGTGTTCTTCTATATTGAATAGATATTGTAAGTCTTTATGTAAAAATAGGTAACAGTTTAACACTAATTTATCAGAAAAATCAGTGGACATAACTGAATTGTTAACTGTTGTATCTGGAATAGCTTTAGCTGTAACTTTAAAAGTAAGTAACAATTAAACTAATTACTATGAATCTTTTTCAGATCACGTGATGCTATAAATTATAATTATTCCAGCATCAGTTGAAATTAAGACTGAAAATGGTGGGCCTAGGGATGAATTTTTCTGTCAGCTTTATTTAAGGTTAAATTTTTTTTTAAAGTTGGATTAAAGTTGATATATACTATTATATTGGTTTCAGATGTACAACATACTGACTTGATAATTGCATACATTAATAGGTGCTTGCCATGGTAAGTCTAGCTCCAGCTTCTGTAAGATCTTTATATTTTAAAAATGAATAGATATGGAAAACAGTGTGGAGGTTCCTCAAAAAATTAAAAATAAACTACCATATGATCCAGCAATTCCACTTCTGGATGCTTATCTGAAGGAAATGAAATCTACCTTCTATCTCTATGGATTTGCCTATACTGGTTGGTCATTTTGTTAAAATGCATTCAATATGTGGCTTTTTGTATCTTGCATTTTTTCACTTAGCATAATACATTCAAGGTTTAGCAATATATGGAATGCATTCATACTTCATTGTTTTCATCTTCCATCCTTTAATGCAAAAAACTTTTAATTTACAGGAACCCAAGTTATACATTTTTTTCTTTTGTTGCTTGTGTTCTTGGTGTCATATCTAAGAAACCACTGCCACATCGAAAGCCATAAAGATTTTAGTTCTGTTTTCTTCTAAGAGTTTGGTATTTTCAGCTCTTATATTTAGGTCTTTAAATCCATTTTGAGTTAATTGTTGTATGTGGTATGTGAAGGATGCAGCTTATTACATTATTTTACATGTGGATGTCTAGTTTTCACAGCAGCATTTTAAAAACAGCTTTATTAAAATGTATTTCATGTATCATATAGTTCACGTATTTAAGGTGTAGAATTCAGTAAGTGTTAATATATTTACAGATATATTGTTAATGTAGGACTCTCTCCACTGTCAATTTTGCAACATTTCCATCACCTCAAAAAGAAACCCCATGCCCTTTTGCTATTACCCTCCCACCTCTTAAGTCCCCACCCGAAGCTGAGCAGACATCTGGAAGAAGAAAGCCCAACATCAAGGGAATAGCTAAAAAGCAAATGCCCTGAGATGGGAGTAAAATAAGGTGAGAGGAAAGAATGCTGACCATGTTTTACTAGCAGTATATTTTCTGTTGGGGAGGTGGGGGGATAATTGAGGAAGGATTATTTCCATGGCTGAAATTAATGGGTTCACTGTTTCTAATAGGAATGTAAAGAAGAAGTCAAAATGGATTCAAGTATGGGTGTGAATTCTGTCACCATTTCTGTTGAGGGGATGACATGTAGTTCCTGTGTTTGCACCATTGAGCAACAGATTGGAAAACTAAATGGTATACATCACATTAAAGTAAGTTACTCTTTGGAAATGTCAAGTCAAATGCTATTGACTGGAATTTTTCTAGGAAATTACTTTTAACACTGAGATAGAAGCAGACATACTGACACATTTTCAGTAAAGACTAATAAGTCTAATAGGACTAATACATTTTCTTTGCCCCTTTAATTTCTTTTTTTATTAAAAAAATTAAATATTCAATTTAAAAATATCTGAAGGTGGACTCTTGACAATGGTGGCTGTATGTTTATAGATATATAAATATATAGATGCTGATATACTTTTTATTACTCTGAATCTCATACTGAACTGAATATATATTCTGAGAGAAAGGGTTGTGGTTTCTCTTATATAACGTGACAGTTATTAATGTTAAGTAATCATGTAGTCTTCCTTAAGCACATGCATACAAGCTTTAAGGGTAATTTTCTAAACATTTTCACTTTAATTTTTAATTGCAAAAGTAAAACAGGCTTTTGTTAGACCTTAACATATTCCTGCTATATTTCATTTCAGAATCTTATTTAATGAAAAGGATTATTTTATGTGTGTATTCCAATTTTTCTGCAAGGAACATGACTTATTAATATAATTATTATAGATAAATAAGAAAAGCTAAACAGCTTCGTTCAGTACCTTCTAAATATAAGACTCAAAAGTACCAAAGTCAACACAAGACTACCCCAAAGGGAATATAATAATACCATCCTCCCTCATCCTGTAAAAAATATATTTGAATGTTCCCTGTGCTCATTTTTTGCCATAGACGTAGTATATTAAAGGTTCAAGGGGTCCTAGGTATGACTTAAATAGTCTTACCCTCTCATTTTATAGATCAGTAGGCTGAAGTCCCAATAATGAAGTGACTTACGCTAAATTATAAATTACCCAGGTACCTAATACCGAAGCAAAACTAGAATTCAGGTTCCATGATTCCTGGGCCAGTGTGTTTTCTGGTCATACAGTGTCTACAGATGCATTTTAATTTGCATACAGTTCTCATACTTGTCACCTCCAGTTTTTTCTTTCACATAACTTTTGGAAAAGCAACCTGGTATTTCATCATAAAGGTGCCTTCTACTACCAAATTACTGTTTAGCTCTGCATCAAATCTCTAAGTTCTCCTTAGAATAATTCTAGTATTTTTAGTATGAGAAACCTTGAATTATGTTTTTTTCATTCCCTTTTTAATCTTTTCATTTTCATGTTCATTAAAAATGTATTTCTTTAAAGCCTTTAGTGTAAAAAGTGTTTTGGTTAATTTTTAAAGAATAGTGCAGATTTCTCAGCCTCAGCCCTATGGACATTCTGAGCTGGGTAAACCTTTGTTGTCCAGGCTGTTCTGTGCTTTGCAGCATGTTTAACAGCCTACCTGGCCTCTGCCCATCACATACCACTAGCCTCTTGTACTTGTGACAACCAGAATGTCTGCAGACACTGCCAAGTCACGGTTGTAAGTCCTTCCTCTGAGAACCCATACACACCCTTTGGCTATCCAATTAATAATTGATGATGGTGAATTGATTTATCCGACAGGCTCATGTGCCCCTTTCTCTTGATACTAGCTTCTTTCTCATGGTTCTTTTTTGCCAGTGACAGGTATACTGAGCATGAGAATCACCTGGAGGACTTGTTTGAACAGAAATTGCTAGGCCCCATTCCCAGAGATTCTGTTGTAGTAGGTCTGGATGGGGCCTGAGAATTTCTGTTTCTAGCAAGTAACCAGGTAACTCTAACAGTGTTGGTTCAGGGACCACAGTTTGAGAACCGTTGTATTGCTGAGATATACTAAAAATTAAGATTATCTGAAATTTAAATTTGACTGGGTATCTTGTGGTTTTTTTTGCTAAATCTAGTAACCCTACTTTGAAGTCATCCTTCTCCCTTAATTTTTCCCACCATTATTTTTGTCCCTGTAAGTTTTACTTTTTAAAGACTGCCATATAAATGGAATTAAACAGTATATAGCCTTTTGAATCTAGCTTCCTTCACTTAGCATTATGCATTTGAGATCCACCCGTGTTGTTGTATTTATCATTGATTCTTTCGTTTTTGGTGCTGAGGAGTACTCCATTGTGTGGAACGACCACAGTTTGTTTAACCATTCACTTTTTGAGAGATGTTTGGATTGTTTCCACTTTTTTTGTGATGGTGAAAAACAATAGTCTGAATGTTTACGTACAAGCCATTGTATAGACCTATGTTTTGATTTCTCTTAGGCAGATTCCTAGGATTGAATTTGTTCCATCATATGGTAAGTATGTGTTTGTTTTTTTGAGACAATGGCAAATGATTTACCACAGTAGCTGTACTATTTTATCTTCCCATCAGCAGTGTTTGAGGATTCTGCTTTTTCCACATTTTCGTATGCTTATTAGGCATTTATATACCTTCTTTGATGAAATGTCAGTCAAACCTTTTATCAAATTTTTAGCTGGTTTTTTTGTTTTTTTTCTTACTCAATTTTGATTGTTTTTTATATATTCTGAATATAAGTCTCTGAGACACATGTTTTCAACATAGTTTTTCCAGTCTGTGGCTTGTCTTTTCATTCTTAGAGGTGTCTTTCCTAGAGTGGAAGGTTTTGCTTTTGATGAATTCTAATTTATCCACATTTTTCCTTTCTGGATTATGCTTTTGGTGCCTTATCTAAGAAATCTTGGTCTCACCCAAGGTCACAAAGATTTTTCTCCTATGTATTCTTCTAAAATTTTTATCATTTTAGGTTTTACTTTTAGAACAATGATCTAATTTGAGTTAATATGTATACATTATGAATTATGGGTTGAGGTTAATTTTTTTGTATGGATGTCCAGTTTTCCCAAGCTCCACCATTTGTTGAAAAGTCTATTCTTTCTCTATTGAATTACCTTTGCATCTTTGTTGAAAATCAACTGAACATGTATTTGTGGGTATGTTTCTGTATGCTCTGTTCTGTTCCATTGGTTATTGTAACTTTATAATCTTAAAATCAGGTAGTGTGATTCCTTAACTTTGTTCTTTTTCAGAATTGTTTTGGTGATTCTGGGTCCTTTCCCTTTCCATATAAATTTTAGAATCAGTTTATAAGTTTCTATAAAAATATCTGCTGGGATTTTGATTTGGATGTGTTGATTCTTTTGATCTATTTGGATTGAAATAACATCTCAACAATACTGGGTTTTCTCATGATATATCTCTTCATTTATTTAGGTATTCCTTGATTTCTTTTATCAGGGACCTATGTTTTCAGCAAACAGATCCTGCACATATTTTGTCAGATTTGTCTTTAAATAAATAAATTTATTTTGGTATCATTAATATACAGTTATATGAGCAACATTGTGGTTACTAGATTCCCCCAATTATCAAGTCCCCACCACATACCCCATTACAGTCACTGTCCATCAGTGTAACAAGATGCTACAGAGTCACTACTTGTCTTCTCTGTGCTATACTGCCTTCCCCTACATCATGTGTGCTAATTGTAATGCCCCTTTTCCCCCTTCTCCCTCCCTTCCCACCCACCACCCACACCCAGTCCCTTTCCCTTTGGCAACTATTAGTCCATTTTTGGGTTCTGTGAGTCTGCTGCTGTTTTGTTCCTTCAGTTTTTGCATGGTTCTTATGCGCTACAGATGAGTGAAATCATTTGGTACTTTCTTTCTCCACCTGGCTTATTTCACTGAGCATAATACTCTATAGCTCAATCCATGTTGTTGCAAATGGTAGGATTTGTTTTCTTCTTATGGCTTAATAATATTCCACTGTATATGTACCACATCTTCCTTATCCATTCATCTACTGATGGACACTTAGGTTGCTTCCATTTCTTGGTTATTGTAAATAGCACTGTGATAAACATAGGGGTGCATCTTTTTTCAAACTGGGCTGCTACATTCTTAGGGTAAATTCCTAGGAGTGGAATTCCTGGTTCAAATGGTATTTCTATTTTGAGTTTTTTGAGGAACCTCCGTATTGCTTTCCACAATGGTTGAACTAGCTTACATTCCCACCAGCAGTGTAGGAGGGTTCTCCTTTCTCCACATCTTCGCCAGCATTTGTTGTTGCTTGTCTTTTGGATGTTGGCCATCCTAACTGGTGTGAGGTGATATCTCATTGTGGTTTTAATTTGCATTTCTCTGATGACAAGTGATGTGGAGCATCTTTTCATGTGTCTGTTGGCCATCTGAATTTCTTCTTTAGAGAACTGCCTATTCCTCTCTTCCCATTTTTTAATTGGATTATTTGCTTTTTGGTTGTTGAGGTGTGTGAGATCTTTATAAATTTTGGATGTCAACCCCTTATCAGATATGTCATTTATGAATATATTCTTGCATACTGTTGGATGTCTTTTTGTTCTACTGATGGTGTCCTCTGCTGTACAGATGCTCTTTAGTTTGATATGGTCCCACTTGTTCATTTTTGCTTTTGTTTCCCTTGCCTGAGGAGATATGTTCATGAAAAAGTTGCTCAGGTTTATATTCAACAGAGTTTTGTCTATGTTCTCTTCTAAGAGTTTTATGGTTTCATGACTTACAGTCAGGTAGGTCTTGGCTCCATTTCGAGTTTACTTTTGTGTATGCAGTTAGTATAATCCAGTTTCATTCTCTTACATGTAGCTGTCCAGTTTTGCCAACACCAGCTGTTGAAAAGGCTGCCATTTCCCTCTTGTCTGTCCATGCCTCCTTTATCATATATTAATTGGTATACATGTGTGGGTTTATATCTGGGGTCTCTATTCTATTCCATTGATCAATGGATCTGTTCTTGAGCCTGTACCAAATTGTCTTGATTACTGTGGCTTTGTAGTAGAGCATGAAGTTTAGAAATATAATCCCTGTTGCTTTTTACTTCCTTCTCAGGGCTGCTTTGTCTATTCAGGGTCTTTTGTCGTTCCATATGAATTTTAGAACTATTGGTTCTAGTTCATTGAGGAGTACTATCGGTATTTTGATAGGGATTGTATTGAATCTGTAGATTGCTTTATGCAAGATTTTGACAATATTAAGTTTTCCTACCCAGGAACATGG